CGAAAATGGCTTTATTGTAAAATATGGAATGTGCCTTTTAGACACGCACACTGGCTACAACAATGCAAGTGGTTACAACGAAGCCAAACTCAGTTGAAACGACTTAGCAGGCCATTGAAGTCGGATCTTGCCTGTCAATTAAGCCAGCCTACTTTTCGGGGTAAGGGTATAAAAACAAGAAATTTTTTTAAGGGCCATTAAAAGACAGTCACGAAAGGACTACTCAAAAACCATGACGACAGCAACTAAACATGGCGTAAACGTAAACGGGAAGTAACCATCCCATGATGCGAGCAGCTAACTGGCTTCAAACTTCTTGACGCACCCATTGGCTGGGGTGCTTGTTTATTTTAAGTAAAGTTTTGAAATTTATCGTGGAATCTTGGTTTGACTTTTATCGTCGTGGGAAGACTGTCTGTCGGTCTGCCTGCCTGCCCACAAACTCCTTGATTTCTATAACGACGGAACCAGAATGCGCCAAGGTTAATCACGTGCAATTCGCCGTTCGATTGAGTTTAATGCTCTTATTAAAATTTAGTGCGCTAATTAAATCATCAGGGTAGGCAGTAGATTGGATCGCGAAATTGCCAATTTTGCAATGTGAATTGTAGTGTTAAAAATACGGCAACGGTTATTCACGCCCCTATTTGGTATGTTGTTTATTAGGCATGAACAAGAAGTGAGTTTGCGCCTCATGTTTGCCTCTTATTTCAGAAGCAAAATATCGCGCATTCACTTCACAAACCACACTAGCCTTACAAGGCACGCTTTAAACAAGACAGATTTAACTATTTCTGCCTCGTGTTGCACTCAAACCAGTTCTTTTTGTCGTACATTCGTTGGTTAGGTCCAATTAAAAACAAGGGTTGCTCGCTTGTCAAGGAGGCAATTTTCATTGTAAATTTGGACTTAAAAGACACTTGCACTACACTATGTGCTAGTTTTTTTTTCGATGTTTCCTTACGCGGTGCATAACTTGGCAATGAAAGGCGATATTAGCGTGCAATTTTCCCAAAGTACACGGAGAAGTGCATTGGCATTCATTACACGCAAAGGATGTTAACTAAAGCAGCTACCTTTTCTTACCTGACTCAAACAGTTTACACTTGTGATAAATGTGCTAATGAAGAACAATTAGGTAAATGAGAGATTTTAAGGATAACACCGACATAAGATATTTAAGCAAGTGAATTGGAGTTGATTGCGAGTACCAACCAGGCTGAGGGATATGAACCTGCAGGCAATATTGCCTTCGATTTCAATCACGCTGCGAACGGTCTGCTGGCATTACGTAAAGATGACAGGGGCAAAACGTGTGATACACGGTGGAAATGTGCGATAGCCAGCATTCAAGCTTTCATGTCACTGCGTACAGGTGAATTTGGAAATTGTGCAAATGAGGGCGTTTTATGGCATGCGTGCGCTGTTCACACTCCAGGCTCACCAACCCATGACCAGTCTTCCCAGGTTAGTGATCTCGGAAACTGGTCACCAAATTGTAATATTAGCAACACCAATCACGTATGGTGTTAATTTGCAGTGACCTTGGGCTAAGTTGTACAACACGGCTCACCTGATCGCGGAGCAGAATGCACTGGAACATGTTCTGTCCACGTGAATGTCAAATGTACCGAGTTAAAAGCACACGTAGTAGGCAACCGCAGTATGAACCAGTGTAGGCATCGCGCATTTTCGGTTAAATCGTTTTTCAAGTTAACTACGTCGCTATTACTTTCTATGGCAACAGGTCCACGTATGTGTGACGATCACATTGAGGCTAACGGGTATAAACTCAACAAATCCGCGTCTCTAGTCTCATGTCACCAGAAAAATAATCCCAGATGAATGAAATACAGCGGCATTGTCACGAAACAAAGCAATTTGGAGGAGGTGTAGGGTGTGTTGATGATTATTCAGTCCTGTTAATGGGCTGACTCCAATTTGTTCACTTGATGTGAATCAGTGTGGCAGGTTGTGTGTGGAGTCGAGTGTGTTCGTGGGTAATTACAGTGATATGAGCCGGCTATGCCATGCATTCCGGTGCTTTTGGTAAACGCACAGGAACAAAGCTGAACCAGCTGCTTTGCAGAAAATACCACTAGTGTAAATTAGGAAAGGCTGCTAAGTGACCTACCACATTGCGTCAATAGTGTGGGTGTTTGCTTGTTGACTCTCTGAAGCTCCCTTTCCAAACACGCGTCGGGCATCCATACGGCCAATCTGTGCTAAATATTTTCTATTGTCAACGCAAAAAACAAAGAGATATAGATATTATGGCTATGAAATGGGCTGCGCCGGACATCAAAGTGATTCCCGCACATGTGCCTGTTAATCGTGATCTGACGCTCGTTAAAAACAGTACACACGCCTGGCTTAAGTAGGATGTTTTGCTTAATTATAATGGAGCATATGAGGAACAACATTCAGCAGCAGTGAAACTAGTTAAAGGTGAATACACGCCCATTCGAATCATTAACTTCATGTGGGGCAAGTTAGCGTGTGTACAAATTACCCAAGAATCTGCCAAACCGACAAAAGGCTTGGAGTTGTTACAACACGACGCGTTATAAACATGCAGGGATTTTGAATCAACATGTTTGCGTGTTATTTGTGTACGTAGTTGGATCCACCGTCAAACTGTAACTTACTTAAAAGACAAATGGACCATCAGTGCGTGAGAAGTTTCGACAATTCTTTACTTAATTAGCATTGTTGTCTGTAAGTAGTGCATCGTTCTGTCTGTAAATCAGTGCCATGCTGGCTCAAAAGTACGTCCTTGATCCATCTTGTTCAAAAAACCCTCACGGTCACGCATTGGACATAAATGATTTCTCACCAAAGGACCTCTATTTCGAAGGAGATAACGAGACGCAACGCATTCAGCGTACAGAAACAAATCTAAAACACGCCGTGGAACATCTTCGAGGTTTTCGCGAAGTATGATCAGCGAACAAGGGAGCAAATATCGTAGCAATGTCAAAATTATTTAATTCAGTGTAATAATGCGGCATTTTGTCGTTGACTGTAGCTTCTAAATTCCTCATTTAGTTTTAAATTTCAATACACGAAATAAAATGTGCTTTGCTGCGTTTTGACTGCCAATAACTGATGAACTCTATCCTGCTACGATGCTGCGACGTTTTTTAGAAGCAAATATCTCCTATATTCAGTATTTTGTGATAACAGGCTAAAGATCTGTAAACTGAATTGGTATATAGCAACTGCAGTGTTGGGATTTTGATAACGGTCCCAAGGTTTTAATTGGACTGATTCATCATTACAATACTCCACTTACGCTATTTATCTGACAGTTGGTGGAATGATGGATGCAGACGTACATTTCAATCAGATGATAGGCTCCACTTCCCAGTTACTTGTATCCGCAACTCTCAAAATAGTTTAACACTTTCAAATTCAAGTCAATAAAGTCACACATACCAAAACAGACGTGACCTAATAAGGACTTGCATAGAAAAACTTGGTCAGTAGAATTCATGGCTCATCTAGTGTAATAACGGAATAAGTCAAAAAGGTATCAAAGTTAGTAGGATGTTTACATTCCTTACAGTAGATGCTTTTTGCTTTTAGCATGTCAACGTGGCTAAATTTACAGCGCGAGAATTCGAGGTTATTGCCTTGCAGGAGTCTTCGAGACCGTAAAATATGATTAGGAGATCTCTCATTTGAAACCATTAAAATAACTTAGAGGAAGATTATTTAATAATCTTAATTAATTTACTCAGCCTGACTCAAAGCAACTTGCATGCTTGTGATTTTCCAGTCAGTTTACGAAATAAAATAAATAATTTTTGAATACCGCCGCCGAAGTAATGTCTAATGCTGCAAATTTCTCACTTGGGTGGAAAACGTAGCCTGATGAGGACACCTCGAATTTCTTCCACGGATTAACATTCGGACTCACTGCACAAGAAATAAAAATCACGTGTCACGTCACACATTGCATTAAAAAACTGGTCATTTAAACACATTCAGGATTTTTTTGAAAATCAATGATGGGTTAGGAACGTTCTACTTCGTGTTTTATAAATCAGTGCAGACTACACGTGGGCGGACAGAGAAAAGTGCAGAAAGAAAGTTTTCATCGACACAGTGTATATCTCCCATGGAATACCGTGCAACATTATATTTATTCATAAAATTTTATACTGAGATAGTCCTGCAAAATATTTGCACTTATTTTTTGTCCAACAAAGCAATAAAGACAGGGCTTCAGCGAAATTTTTAGGATGAATAAGTTTAAAATCATCACGAGTTTGTATAAATCGTTATCTCTTGTAAAATTTACACACACTCCCTCCTGAACTAAATGTTAACGAGTTTTCAATGAAAATTCATTAAAGCCGCATATTTATTACCTACTAGCACTTATACCATTTACGTTTATATACTAACATGAATAAAACACAGTTAGCTGACATTTAGATGGATTTATTCCAAAAAAATATAAGTTGAAGTTTCGGTAATCCGAAAAAGCAAGTTCACTGAAACCACTACCAACAAGATATCTCTAATTTATGACCTCTAGAAAAACATTACTTTCACCAATATGCAGTGCAAAGTTTTTTTTGTTGTTCTGTAATCACTTTACCTGAAGCCAATTCGTCCTTATTTTGTTTTACCCTTCCACGGCTATTTAGACCAAGGACACCCCGCTTTATAATATTGCGTATTTTATCCAGAGGTTGAGAAGGCGTTTGCTAATTGCAATGTTTGGTACAGCAGTGATTTAGTGTTCATCCTTCTTTATAGTTACAGACAGTTTCATTCCGTTTACACAGGCCCTTTACAGTCAATTCGAAGCTGCAAGTACGTAAAATAATTTCGATAATTTTCATGGATTTGTTATACTCACACTTGATTAGTGCGTTTTGTTGTCGAGAGTTACTTTAATACACACAATGCATGCATAAAAAGTTTTCATGCTAAGATTAGTTTAGAGATGGCTTTCTACATGAAATATAGCTGGATTTGTGAACTGAATGGCCGCCAAAATTTGTGACACTGGTACGCACGCATATATCACTATAAGTATAAAACGCATTAAATGGTTGCAGCAGTTTGTCAAAACCACGAAAGTGTTGTAATCTTGCCAATTATCTTTACAGTATTTCCTGGTGGGAAGTGGAAGTTTATTGCTACTTCTGATGTAAAGCTCCTTAGTTTAAAGCCTGAACTCAACTACCTATTTCGTTCTGGTGTGGTGCTTTAAAAAAATCCAAGGTGTGTAGTCTTTTATGAAATTTTCATGGTAATGTAAAAGACAAATGTCGTTTGTAGAGATGCAGAAAATGAATGAGGGATTAGGTTTAGACGCAAAGTAAATTTGGTTATTTAAATGTTTCAAAGACATAATCAATGGGCCAAGAATGCATTATAGACACAATAAAATAATCCCTAAACATTTCAGACGGGGGTTCGAACTTCCTCATTTCGCCGTTGAGCATTTACTCCGCTTTATCCCTCCTCCTGCCGGGAGCAAGGTCGCAGTGCCAGAAGGAAATGGTCAGCACACTGCGACTTGATGCTGCACAGGGCATTGAAAGCCTGAGCAAAGCTGTTCGTAAGAGCCTTCAGGCTATTTGTGAGGGCGACACGAAGAAGACGTTGGTGCAAGCCAATGGAATGTTTGTCCAACAGGGATTGAAGATCGAAGCAGCATACACGAAGACGATCACTGACTTCCACAAGGCGGTATCACATGAAGTAAGTCAGCAGTTGTAATCGTGCAGAGGCATTGCGGCAGTTGAATTTTAGAGGTGATCCGGAGTCGGCTCGAATGTCGATAAATCGGTGGATAGCGGAGAATACGAAGGAGAAGATAAAGGAGCTGTTGGCCACGGGAACAATTTCGAGCTTGACTCGCCTTGTTCTGGCCAACGCGGTGTACTTCAAGGGAAATTGGAAGGCGAAGTTTGACAAGAAGGACACGGACAAGCACGCGATATTCCACACCCTGTCTGGAGGTGAGGTGAAGACGAGTATGATGCACCGGAAGGCTCACTATCCGATGGCGGACTTTGTGGACCTCGAGGTGCGGGCACTGAAGATTCCATTCGAATGGTACTAGTTTGCACGTATTTTGCAATGTTTGTGTGTGTGTGTGTGCCGTTGAATTGAAGATGTGTTGATGCATTGAACTGTAGCCACGAGATGTTGATAGTGTTGCCAGAAGAGGAGAAGGGTTTGCCGGACGTGTTGAAGAAGCTGAAGGAGAATCCGGAGAGTTTCAAGGAGTTGTTTACGTCGGACCAGTACTTTGACACGGAGGTGATTTTGAAACTGCCCAAATTCTGTCTGGGCGGCGAAAGCATGGAACTGAAGGATGCACTTGTGCAAATGGGTTTGGGGTCAATATTCTCAGAGAAAGACGCCGACTTCTCGGGCATAACTGGGGACAGATCATTGACAGTCTCGGATGTGTACCATCAGGCTGTGATTGAGGCAAGTTTGCGTATTTGCATCATTTCTGTGTGGGTGTCTTTCATGCATAAATGTGACTGGTAGCATGACCACGTGAATGCTGGACTTGAAGTTATGATATAATAGCCGACTAAATGAGTATTTAATTTGTAATTGATTGTGTGTGTCGATTGTAGGTTGACGAGGAGGGTGCAGAGGCAGGTGCTGCCACGGCTGTTCAAATGGTTTTTTATTGTATGTCGATGCCACCACCGGAGTTTGTCGTGGACCATCCATTCATTTTCTTCATAGTCACCGAGTCTGGCTTCCCCGTGTTTATGGGGCATGTTGTTGAGCCGAAGACAAAGGCCTGAACCGTGGTAAGTTAGTGAACCGGTTGAATTTGGGTTGTTGTGTGCACATATGTTCCTTAGCCCTGGTGAGGGGTATCGGTCTGTAGTTTTGTTTGTGCAGGTTATGAATCAGCTAATTAATTAACACAATATTGAGATGGTGCTTCCGTCTGCTCGTCATGGTAAATGTGTTGGTGACCGACTCATTAAATTCGCAAAATTATCGTACAGAGTGAGTGCAGATATGATACGTTTTAAACCTAGTATCCAATGAATATCTGATTGTATTTGTATTTTTATTCGATTTGGGTTGAAACCCGACCTGTTGCTTTCTTTTAGTTCTCCGAACCATAATGTGATCATCAAAGTTGACTACTGCTTTCTAGACTAATTTACTTTCTATTCGAAAAAAAAACCTTTAAAAGAAATATTGAAGTGCCGTGCTTGATGTTGTTGAATCTATGAAATTGGCATCAAAAGAAACGTTTGCACTTTCAGTTTTTGTTGTTAGTGGTAGTAGCTTGGAAAGTTCTGCTCTACCATTTCACGGAGCTTGAGATTGGGTAGGTCCCTCTTAACCACGCATCATCTTGTCCGTCGTAAATATTGTTTAAGAGTATGGATACTCCTAGGCTCAGAATCGCATTATATGACAGATGTTTGAGTGCGGTCAATGATACTAGTCTTCAAATTACGGTGAGATCGAATGTTAACAGGAGATTCCTTTACCAGAAGTTGACTGCCTAGTCAATGGAACCATCATTTCGATCAGACATCTCCGGTTATCACACAGAGACAATTTAAGCAGTTCGACTGTAGGTTTTTCAAATGCAACAATACCTAAGTTGCACTTTGTTACGGGAATGATGTAGGCATTTACAGGACCATCCAATTTTGCTTTATATCAGAAATCCATATTAACACTGACCCAATGTCACTTGTACAGCTCTGACAATAGATAACTAATTTATTGATTTCTCAGTCATGTTTTCGCATCAGGCATTCCCGAAGTCGATGTCATTAATGGATATTAAAAGATTTTAATCAGATCGGTTCCTAGGTAGGCAAAATGTGCATTGGAAACGTCCCTAACAACAAAGAAAGGTGCATGTGAATGCTGAGGCATCCGCTGAGGTGACCTGACAAATTCAGGCCAAGCCGGTTAAGCATGGGGTCAGGCAGGTGATTGAAATTGTCCACTACGTACTACTGAAAGCAAAAGATGGCAGAAACGTGTGCGGATTTGAAAAGACTGTTCTTTAAATATTTTATTTCTTAGAATTGAAGTGAAAAATTAGGCTAAGCTTTTAAAACCGGTTGGTGATATCCACGGGTGGAAACAACAGATTGATTGTTAAGTGCTTTTTCATGTTTACGTTACCACCGTGTGACTAATTACCTTGACTAGCTGTTTACGGCGTAGGTACTTCTCAACTTGCCTCCAGTGAATGTGTGTGCTAAATTTCATCCCATCGCCAATGCAATTCTAAAAAAAATACATTTGTTAAAAATGGCATTTTAGGCTATGAAATAAGCTGTGTCGACCTCAAAGAGCTTATTTCCTCGCTGTCTCTTATCGTGATAAAGCACGCACGAAAACCAGCAAACTTGTGTGGTTTGGTGTGGTAACCTTTTCCTAATTATAACATGGCAGTTGTCAGTATTCGACAGCGACGAAGCCAGTAAACAACAACACAAAACCACACGTCTATCAATCTCACAAATGACTTCGAGCTGCTGCATCAGGGCACGTCACCACGAACTCAGTGTGCTGACAAATCTGCCACAACTTTACTTTAAATAGTGGTAATCAACATTGCCGCATCTTGAAGATGTGTTTCGTGGCAAAACTCACCAAATAAATGGACCCTTAATGCTTGCGATGCGTGTTCGATAGTACCGCATGAAATGCCAATTGTTGCTATGGCAGGTGCTCTTTAATCAGCACAAACGCATATCCACGGCTCATCTTGTTCTGAAATCCCACCACGCCGCCGTACATGCAACAGTTTCTTTACTGTACCTAATGACTTCTTGTTTAGGCTGTAAGTGTCAGGCAAGATGTTGCTTGGTTCTGACCAATGCACATCAATCTGCCTCGCAACTTTGACAAGTCAATGAAGCATAGATTGTGAATAAATATAAATCAGGGAAAAATATCAGCTTTGTGAACGCAATGTTCCTGTGTGAAAATCGTTTTAAACCACTAAATACGCCTATCCAAAACCCATGTTTTGCGTATATTTATGGAATTTGTATAGCAGTCTTAAAGCACATTTAGGGTGCTTCAGTTATGTCATAATTTGCTTATGTTGCTGTGGTGACAGTGATGTAATGATGACTGTGAAGGCACATTCTAATTAGATGGTAGCACCCACCTCCCAGTCACAGTCTCATCGGTCGTAGCACCTGAATTCCACATTTTGTTTTGGTTACAAATGTCTCACAAGCTCCGGTTGGGTAGGTTCTTGACTGATACAAACCTGTTCGCATTGGCCTGCCTGACTGTTGCGCCGCGTCACGGAATTTAAAGTAAAATAAAAGACATTCTATTCTTCTTAGCTGAAATTCGGTAACGTGGAATACTGTGAAACATTGAAAGGCGCCTAATTTAAGAATGCAATATGCAAGTGTAAGAGTCATTCATAACAGCCGAGCAAGAAAATTGGAAGCTTATGCTTTGCATGCATTTTTTTAATTTTGAAATTAATCTGGATTTGCCTTTGAGGTGCTTTATTATCGGAATACTACGCTTAAGCTGCTGGCTAAAAAGTTAGCGTAATGGTAACTAGAAACGCACATTTCTACCAGGTACTATCATTCGTTTTTCACTCATTGGCGATTGTCATGTTTTAGCATAGTTTAACAACTTGAAGTTCTTTTTGTAGTAAATTGCATTTAAAAATTGAAATACATTACACTGATTACAAATAACATGAGCAAATCGAGATAGCTATGGAAACGAGGGAAAGTAGATGTAAGGCTAACACGAGTTACATAGCACATACAATGTTAGTATACACTAATCCAAGTCTGTAGTAGCGCTTAACCTGATTTGCTCAGTGGGACTTGAAACAATTTGCATGATAGGGCTGTTTCAACTGATGGGAAAAATTTACCGAAAACTAATGGTGTAGGTGCAATAATGCCGGTCAGGTGTTTCACAAGCGGTATGGGGGAGTACTCCGCAAATAACGTTGTGCTAATTTAACACTGGCAGAATTATGCTGTGGTTACAATGCTCAATGTAGAACACTTTGCATGGAACAGAAAATGTATGATAGATTAATAAATTTATAAATGTTCTCTACAGATTAACGTTCAAGTGCGTTGTGCAAATTAGTTGAACCAGACGCTGTACCACACCTTTGGCTTCCAGTAAACGTTGGCCTTCAAATTGCACATAAGCATTTGTTAAAAATCACTGATATGTAAAGAATGTTCTGCTGAATAAGTTACAATTAAAATGCACATAACGTAGTTCACCAGTCAATTTGAAGTGCATTTGGAATGCGAAATGCCAGTCTTCCATGAACAATGTAGTACAACAACGGGAATAATCGAGTAATGGCGTACTTTTAAGCTAACTTTTAAGAAATTCTGTAACATTTTTGAAAGAAAATGATTGAGAGAATTACCAAGAAAATGCTTTGAAATAAGTGTGCTCACTGCTTCAAGACTTCAACCAGCCCTCAGTTTCTTCCAGAATATCAATACACATTTGTCAAGTTATCTACTATGTATTTATTTTTGCTAGGTATAATTAGTTCAAAACACTCAAGATTCAACATATTTGCATTTATATAAAGGTAAAGTTCACACTAACTTTACGTGAAGTCCAGTCATACTTTGTTTGTTTTATCCTTTCACGACTATTTAAATCAAGGACATTTCATTTTATAATAGTTCGTCTTTTTTCCTTGTCAATCGAAGGAGTCTTTGATTCGTGATGTTTGGTACAACTGTGATTTAACGTTAATCCTTTTCTGTAGTTACAGATAGTTTCATTCCGTTTACACATGCTCTTTACAGTCAATTCGAAGCCGCAAGTACGTGAATTAACTTTGATAATGTCATGGACTTGTTATACACACATTTCAGTTGTACTTTATGCTGTCAAAATTTTCCTTAAGATATCTAAAGGGGTTTGCGGATAAACTATGTTCATTATGATTAGTTTACTGACAGAAGCTTCAGAGTAATTATTGCCATGAATGTCAAAAGTGGCACATACGTAATCAGCAGAATGTTAGTGTTGCCGAATGTTTGCATGAATGCTGGATGTATTTCGTATTTTAGGAATGATTCCAAAAGTTTTTTGGACATCTGAGAATTCTCTGTACAATCTCAGATGTCGAGCTGATGTAATAGGCCAGTGTTTGAATGATAAATTAATTTTGCTGTGAAGTTTTTCAAGTAATATAAGGTGTGTAATCTTCTATTAAATGCTGTTTCTTATATGCGACCTTTTAAAAGTGCTGTTTCTGGTATTCCTACATAATTCAATAAGGAAGCTGGCGCTAATGAAACTTGTGGAAAGTGATGTTGGAAGAGATGAAGTAAATTTTTATAATTGTTGCGTTGGCACTCGATAAATTCCATTTTTAGTTTTGAGGCAGTAAGCAGTACATGCAGAGTAAGATGCTGTCACTGAGCAATTTTTGTTGTAATTTCAGGAGGGGGTTCGAACTTCT